TTTTTTGTAGCAGCTTTATAACTGGTAGGATTATATTCGATATGTGGCCTAGTACTGAACGAAAACCACAGTTGGTCAAACTATTTATGCAGACTATCACTTGATCCTGTAAAAGTGCATACTTGACGTAGGCACTGCACTACAGCTCTCGATTCCATGCATCCATTCCTTCGAGTTGCAGCACAAAGCTTCCGCCTTGAGCATGGGTTGGTCTGTGTAAAATATTGAAATCATTATTTTAAAGTCTTATCAGTTCACAGTTCATTGCCCAGAATCCTATTGTAAATACAGTTGCTATTTTTTCGTGTGTAACAATTGAAAATCAATTTTCATAGAAGAGCTTGCATTGCGCACATGAATAGAGTTGAAAAGTGATAAATAGAGAAACAAATTATTAGATTGCATTGATCTAATGTTGAATTTACAGCCTTCAGGTAACCAATTTTAAAAAGGCAGTTTAATCTCTAGGAAGAAAATCTTCTACCGTAGACATTTTACTACTGTGGTTGTTTTAGGGATGACATTTACATTGGGACTTAATGGCCCCACCAATGCTGATGAATGTCCCAATGAAAAGGAGCACCTAAACACTTTACTGTAATGAGAAATTTGATTGGACAATTTTTCATTGAAAAAAATATCTCCTGTATTGCCAGTGAGGGCGCACTTATATATACCTTGGCTGTATAGAATCTTTCAAGTTTAGTGGTGAGGTAAACTGGCCCGGCTGTAGTGATTTTTCTCAGTTAAATTATGTTAATAAAAAAATTTGTTTAGTTTTACGAAATATGGAGTGGTCTTATTTACAGCTATCTATTGCTATTAGATTTAATTAGTATTGAGCGGTTCCCCTTTAAGAAGGAATTGGAGGCATGCGCACTGCACTGTTTTTCATCTAAACGAAAAGGAGCAACTTAAAATGCAATCGATTTATTGTGGCCGTCAGTAAAACTATCAGTTATTGTCTTCTGTGCAGATCACGCTTCACTGTAACCAGAAAAGATAAAGCTACACGCAGACTCTTTCTCTCCATTAAAATAATTTGCATGGAACGCTATAAATAGTAATTCGTTTGGTATGATTGATGAGTCAGAAATTTCAAGAAAAGTGAACAGTCTTCAGATACAAAGGTTAACCAGATATAGTTTAAATGTCAAATTACTGTGATTGGATAACTTTTTTGCCTGTCATTCTGCTCATTAACATAAAAACAAGTATGAATACACACTAGTTCTTGCTTTCACCACAGAAGGCGCTGCAACTGCGTCTAGTCTGAGTGATTTTGCGGTTACAAGGGATTTGACGTTAACACCTCCATTTCGCAATATTTTTATTTTATTTAAACTTTAAAAAGAAATAAATCACTCAGACTGTGCCAGTCTAGTGGTGAGATGATGGTCGAATGAACATAGTCAGGGATTTTTTTAAACAAGGGAACAGAGGCGCAGCGCCTTCATGCCATGGCCATACGCCCCTTTACACTATGGAGCAGATCCTCTGGCAACCATAAAATTTTGATTGACCAGGAATCACATGTGGCCACAGTCTTGATAGTAAATTTGGCCCCAAGGAAGCCATAGAATGCTGCATTTTAACTTATAGTTATCACCCTGGTAGGGAGAACCCTATCTCCCCCATCTGGTGGATCCACTGAATTGTAGTGCTCCCTCTTTCAGTTTTTTTCTCGGAAAACCCCTGGGTTTTATATAGAGATACGGTAGTCAAATCATGAAGAAGTGTGTAATGTAAAATGACCATTGTTTAATAGTGTTGTACTATTGTATGTTATTGAGTTTCTCGCATATGGTGTATTCTATGAACTATTTCTCTATAGTGACTTTTAATGTTTTTGTTTTTTTGCAGTCTAAAAGATTTAAACTAAACTTTGCAGCATATGGTCAAAGTTACCAGTCGTAAGTTATATTAATTATTAATGTACAGTATAATTTTTTTTTTCAAACTTTTTTGTACGGTATTATTAGTACAGTATTAAAATGGTGCAATGCAAGAGAGGGGATGCAGCTTCTATTAGAGCATCCATATATATATGAGAAATGATGAATTTTTGGCTCTCAATTGTTAGGGAAGCAGCTTCTAATACAGCTTCTATCATGGTATTAATCATGTTCTCTTCTTCTGATTTGTTTTTTCTAAACTTTCTTTGATTTTTGTTTGAGCCTACATGAGGCTGTGTAACTATCGTGCAATAAGACCACAGCAATTAATTAAGCTATCATGCTAACAAACATATGCATATTTGATCACAATCTATGCAAATCTTGACCAGTGTTTTTTTGATGGTTGATTTATCAGTCTAGTTTGTTCTTGTACAATTCATCTATCTACTTATTTTTTTTTCAGGCCAGAATTTTCTCTTTTTGTTGGCGAGCTGACACCTGAGGTAGATAACTGTGCATTGCATGAATTTTTTGCAAAACGTTACTACACGTGTAAAGCTGCTAATGGTAAGACGTTTTTCTTGATCAATCATTAATAAATACAGAAAATTCCATAACCTAATACCAAGAAAAAATTTCTCATGTAATTGTCAAATCACAGCCATTTCTCATGAAATTGTAAAATCACTATCATTTCTTATCAAATTGTCAAATCACTATCATTTCCCATCAAATTATCAAATCACAACCATTTCTTATCAAATTGTCAAATCACTACCATTTCTTATCAAATTGTCAAATCACTATCATTTCCCATCAAATTGTCAAATCACTACCATTTCTTATCAAATTGTCAAATCACTACCATTTCTTATCAAATTGTCAAATCACTATCATTTCCCATCAAATTGTCAAATCACAACCATTTCTTATCAAATTGTCAAATCACAAACATTTCTTATCAAATTGTCAAATCACTATCATTTCCCATCAAATTGTCAAATCACAACTATTTTCTATGAAATTGTCAAATCACAGCCATTTCTCATCAAATTATCAAATCACAACCATTTCTCATCAAATCACAACCATTTCTCATCAAATCACAGCCATTTCTCATCAAATTGTCAAATCACAGCCATTTCTCATCAAATTGTCAAATCACAATCATTTCTCATCAAATTACAATCATTTCTCATCAAATCACAATCATTTTTCATCAAATTGTCAAATCACAACCATTTCTCATCAAATCACAATCATTTCTCATCAAATTGTCAAATCACAACCATTTCCTATGAAATTGTCAAATCACAGCAATTTCTCATCAAATTGTCAAATCACAACCATTTCTCATCAAATCACAACCATTTCTCATCAAATCACAGCCATTTCTCATCAAATTGTCAAATCATAATCATTTCTTATCAAATTGTCAAATCACAGCCATTTCTCATCAAATTGTCAAATCACAACCATTTCTCATCAAATTACAATCATTTCTCATCAAATCACAATCATTTTTCATCAAATTGTCAAATCACAACCATTTCTCATCAAATCACAATCATTTCTCATCAAATTGTCAAATCACAACCATTTCCTATCAAGTTGTCAAATCACAGCCATTTCTCACCAAATTGTAAAATCACAATCATTTCTCATCAAATTACAACCATTTCTCATCAAATCACAGCCATTTCTCATCAAATTGTCAAATGACAACCATTTCCCATCAAATTGTCAAATCACAGCCATTTCTTATCAAATTGCCAAATCACAACTATTTCTCATCTAATTGTCGAATCACAACCATTTCTCATCAAATTGTCAAATCACAACCATTTCTCATCGAATTGTTAAATTACAACCATTTCACATCGAATTTTCGAATCATAACCATTTTTAATCGAATTGTCGAGTCAACCATTTCTCATCAAATTGTAAAATCACAACCATTTCTCATTGAATTGTCAAATTATTTAATCATGACACTTTTTCATCAAATTGTTGAATTACAGCCATTTCTCATCACTCTGTTGAAGCACAACCATTTCTCATAAAATTGTCAAATCGCGCCCATTTCTACATTTATGGTATTCTGTTGTGTCTTTGAGAAATGGATGAGAAGAAATGAACCTGCTTTTGGATCGACTAGAGTTGGTGACTTGAAAGGAGATTATTTTGAAATACTTATGAACCAACATAGTGTCACTGTTTTCAGTTGTGCTAGATCCAATGGGGCATTCCAGAGGCTACGGTTTTGTTCGTTTTAGCAATGAAGAGGACCAACAGAGAGCTCTTATTGAAATGAATCAAGTTACTGGTCTTGGAGGAAAAAGCATCAAAGTTGCTCTAGCAACACCTAAAAGGTAAAAATTAAGACGGGGATGGGATTAAATTGCATGAGGTCTACATGTATTAACATGAAATCTGCTTGAAGATAATTTTGTGAAATAGATTCTAAAGTAATAAAGTCAAAGCGACTTGCAAGAAATTTCTAGCTGAAAACTGTGTACAATAATCTTGTAATGTACTTCCAAGCTCTGCTATAATGTTCAGAGATTGTGTATGGTTGGGTTAGATTTAACTGAATCTTAGCTAACTTGCATGTAACTAATTTATTTGCGACACGTTTTGCAGAAAACTACCCCGGTATCTGAAAATGAATGTGTGCTGTATTTGTATTTATTTCCATTACACACTGATAGCACTCCTGAATCTGAAGTGAACAAGTGTTTGATGTGACATAAATGTGACACACAATTTCCAAATAAGGACAACACTTTCAAATATGTCAGTGTGGCATTTTACGAACGGGAAAATTCTATTCGAAAACACACATTCTTACTTCCCTGTGGGTAAGTCATTGCGGTCACCCTATGTTTATGCATGTCTCTTCCACACATTAAGAACTACTCAATAGATTTCAATTAAAGTTGGTACATAGGTCTCTTATGCATGGTTTCAATTTGTTGTGTATCATATTTTGCAGACCAATAACAGCTGTTCAGTCGTCCACACAACACCAACCGTCATCCCAGAATTATGGCGACTATTATCAACAATACCAGCAACAATATCACAACTATTATGCAGCTTGGAATAGCTATCCGTCTTCTCAGCAGCAAACAGCCGCTGACACCTCAGTAACATCATATAGCCAGTGTGAAACCAGTAACCATGGTAACACATCAATGAAAAGTAGCATTGTAAGTATGGATGGAATTTTAATATCAATACGTAATGTTTTTTTCACAATTCTGAGAAAACTTTCACTCTTCGTAACAACTGTAAACTGCTTTAAATTTGCGAACGACAAATATTCTAGAATTTTGTGAGTGACTAAAAATCATAAAATTTCCTGGCAGTGAAAATGTTTTCAAGGTCCTACGACATAAAAGATATTTTGTCCACACGAATGTCATAAAATTCTGAAGAAATTTCTAGCAGCGAAAAAAAATCGGTTCACAATATTCAAGGATCAGTGTGAAAATTCTAACTTTCAGTTTTTTCTTTTTTTTCAGAGTGAAGATGATGTTTTTGAAGGTTGGTTTACTCCTTTGTTTCTTTTTATGTAGTTGCTAATGAAAATTGTACTAACTTTCTATCCCAGAACCAATGAATGAATGAATGAATGAATGAGGAAGAAAAAGTTGTTCAGACACCAAATTTTTGACAAAGTTGGACTAATGTAGTTTCTATCTCCTTGTAACACCAATTTCAACTTTTCAAAAAAACAAAACAATTTTTAGTCCCCGTTCGGACGCAGTCCGAAAACGGGGACTTATGTTTTGACCTCTGTGTGTGCGTGCGTGTGTGCGTGCGTGTGTGCGTGCGTCTGTGCGTGCGTCCGGACCTGTATCTTAGAAATGCCTGGACCAATCACAATCACATCATACATGATATTATCGTACTCGACCGCGTTAGCGCCCAGGGGCCTCAACTCAGAAAATCACGATTTTGTAGGGGTGGGCGCTTATCCGAGCACCCCCCCTCGAAAAAGAGTGCAAATGAAAATTTTGATTCATCTAGTGACAGATTACGTCTTTGAGGGAAAATCAAATTACATGTACTAAATTAGTTGCGTCGTCATTGATTTTCACAATGAAGAAACAGAAATGATCACAAAAAATACGCACATTTTATTACAATATTAATTACGTATCACCATAATTTACGGAATTAAAAACATTTGAGTCTGTTGGAACACAGTCGAAGTCAAAATTGTCATATTATTTCCACTGACGAAGTTGTTGGATCGTATGCAAACTCTCGACGAAAATCACTTTCCGCCATGATGCAATTGCAGATTTGACCTACAGCAGCGTCCTTTGACCTAATGGGTCAAGTTGGTTATTAACCAATCAGAATGCTGTGTTGTACTGATGCAATTCTTCGGAAATTCCCAAAGACTTTTCGGTAACGCAATGCGGAAGTGAATAATTGATGTCGAAGTACGATCTGTTGGAATTGATTTCAGCGAATAAACGACATGGTTTTTCCAAAAAACTAGTAACTAGCCATTTTTGAGAACTGAATATGGCATGAAATATTTATCGCATGTTACTTGTATTAACAGGTCATTGTCGAAGCGTAGTTTACGCACGGTTACCGTGTTCTACGCATTCACAACATGTTCACAGCGATCGATATCCACGCTGTATCAACGATTACCAAGATTCGTTACGCAAGACCAAGTTTTAAATTAGTTGCATTTTGAAGGGGTGGGCGCTTTGCCGAATGTGACCCCAAATATATAAATTGCGCAAAAGTGGGGGAGGGGGCGCTTGCCCGGGCATGGGCGCTAACGCGGTTGAGTACGGTATACATATGCACGTCAATTTGTTCCTTGATCTGATTCAAGATGGCCGAATGGCGGCCATTTTTGTGCTAAAAATCATCAAAATCAAGCATTTCTCAGCTGTTTACAGATGGATTTTGTTCAAACTTGGTGTATACATTAGAAATTATAGGACCTTGATGCACATCATTTTGTTTTACGATCTGATTCAAGATGGCCAAATGGCGACCATTTTTGTGCTAAAAAATCCTAAAAATCAAGCATTTCTCGGCTGTTTACTAATGGATTTTGTTCAAACTTGGTATATACATTAGACATTATGGGACCTTGATGCAAATAATTTTGTTTTTCAGATAAAATTAAAAATGGCCGACTGGCGGTCATTTTGTTTTAATGAATGTGGTTCTCGTGCCATAAATCTGACTTGCTTTCACTGATTATGTTCAAATTTTAAATATTCATTATACATCATGTCATAGATAGACAGATAAATTAGTTTGACGATCCTATTCAAAATGGCCGAATAGTGGTCATTTTTGTGCTAAAAAATCATCAAATATCAAGTATTTCTGGCATTTCTAGATGGATTTCGTTCAAACTTGGTACATATATTAGACATTACAGGTTTCTGATGCACATCATTTATTTTTCAGATCAGGCGGCCATTTTGTTTTAATGATTGGGCTTCGAGAGCCATCTCTTAAATGCTTTGACTGATTATATTCAAATTTTATATATTTGTTATACATCATGTTATATATATATATATATATATATATATATATATATATATACATGTATTCAAAATGGTTGATTTTGAATGCTGTTCCAAAGCAATATCTCTCAATATGAACAAGTACTTGTTCGACGATCAGATACAAATGTCAATCATTTTAATGTTAAAAAATCATATTCCTGACATGGTTATATTCCAGCTATATTACTATAAACAAAACTATATATCTTAAATTTGATAACTAACGGGGACTGTGCCATGCATGGCTTGTTTCTTTTTTTTTCCAGATATTGATATATCGGTAGATGTGGACAAAGCTAATGCAGAATTCATTTCAAAACATGAAGAACTCTTTGAAGCTGTTGAAAATTCAAGATGGCAGCCGCTTGACAACGTGATGTCAGAGATTCCTGGTTTAGCAATCATGTCATGACTCCCATAATGCATTGGGAGGTATTGATAGAATTGCACTGTTTTGCATATTTCTGGATGCATAGGCCCTGAGCCTTCAATCAACCGATAGACATTTGCATGTTGTTTATCTTGCCCTTGTAGTCAAAATGTTTCTCCATATAAGGCAGTAACAACTTTCTCCTTATAAGACAGTAACAACATTCTTCTTATAAGGCAGTAACAACTTTCTCCTTATAAGACAGTAACAACTTTTTCCTTATAAGGCAGTAACAACATTCTTCTTATAATGCAGCCATAACTTTTTCCATATAAGGCAGTCATAAATTTCTCCTTATAAGGCAGTAACAACTTTCTCCTTATTAGACAGTCATAACTTTCTCCTTATAAGCCAGTCACAACTTTCTCCTTATAAGGCAGTCACAACTTTCTCCTTATAAGGCAGTCACAACTTTCTCCTTATAAGGCAGTCACCACTTTATCCTTATAAAGCAGTGACATCTTTCAACTTGTAAGGCAGTCACCACTTTCTCCTTATAAGGCAGTCACCACTTTCTCCTTATAAGGCAGTCACCACTTTCTCCTTATAAGGCAGTCACCACTTTATCCTTATAAAGCAGTGACATCTTTCTCCTCAACAGACATACTGACACTATTTTAATAGTGAGTGTGACCGTGTTACTGAATGTCATATGTAAACAATACAATCTACTTGCATAACCTTGAAAATCTACATCAAAATTTATTAATGTAAAATACTTTATTTTAGCTCGAATTAATTTACATTGAAAAGGTTTTTGGGTCTTTTGTATGGAATTTATTTTCCCTGATTTTTGAAAAGTCGAATGTAAAATATAGGAAAAAAGGTATATTCACTGGATTTTATTTTCATTGAATCATTACTTCAGCGAAAATTAATTCAAAGCAAAAAAAAAAGTATTTTACAGTATTTGTCTTCACTACAAGAAATCCCATCATGCATTGCTGTTCAAATTCTGCTTTGAGTGTACTACTAAATGCAACATGAGTCTAGTGTGCAACTCAGACTAGTCTTAATTAAAAATGCTTCACATTGAATATTGACTCACGATGATTGCATTGCAAGACATCTGTAACATGAACTCACTTCTATGTCCTTTCAACAGAGACAGTGGTGTACATAAGATATTAGAACAGAGCTTGAATCCTTGGTAACGTGTGTATACATAGTAACCAATTGACAGGCCATTCACATTGTACTTCCATAATGCACTGGTGCAATCCCAGGGATTGCAGAGCTGCAGTTTAACATCTGATGCAGGTTATGTGAACCAGTATCATCTAGTCTAGGAGCTCTCCTCTGATGCATTTGTTAACCAACCAGAGAGTACCTTACTACTACAAGTAAGATTATTCTACATATGCTGTTTGTAACTAAGTTTCTGATTGATTGGTTATTGGGTGTAATGAATGAAGTGTTTCCAAGTTGGAGTTTTGTCAGCGAGAGAAAGAGAGCAGTTTAATCGTATATCAGATTTCAACTTGACTTGTATGTGGGTGGTTAAAAATAAGACTAATGAGATCAATTAATTTTGTCTTTTAACTTCTAAGAAAATGTATAATTCTTTACAGAGCCTGTTGATCGAAATATGACTTTATTTATGTCTTTGCTGAAGTTTTTAGCTGGGTTTCAAACCAGCTACAAAGTAACAGGGTATGACATTGGCCAGTGAAATATACCAGTACTTCTGTTAATATGAGTAATTCTCCAATATACATTCATAATGGTCTGGACTTGAAAAAGGAAATATGTGATTGTAATAATAATGTTTGTTTTATACTTGAATGAGAAGTATTTGCTCTATTAGAAGTATATTTCTAATAGAAGTGAACTTTAACCTAAAGTTACATGTATTGTATGTTGGCTCATTAAATATGACCTGTATTGATCATTGATACATATTTGTCTTTATTGTAAGCGCATGTGATACTGACTATAGAGTAAATGTAATACTGTGGAATACTTTATTTTTGCTGGAATTAATTTTCGCTGAAAAAGGCTTTTTGTATGGAATTTATTTTCACTGATTTTTGACGAGTTTAATGTGAAATATAGGAAAAAAAGTATATTTTATTTTCACGGATTCCAAGCGAAAATAAAGTATTCTACAGTAATCTAACATTGCAGTTGAGGATGTTCTAAATCTAGCGACATCGAGAAACATCTTTCAGACCAACACAACTTGTGTATATTTTTATTAACCACCACTTGTGAAGAAGGCAGGACAATGAATGGGGTTCATTTTTTTTAAGCCAATTAGTCTTGGAAGAGGTTATCAACTTTTATTAGCTCTGCTGTCGACAAAGTTGACGACGCAGAGCTCTTAATATTACTGATTGTCCGGTGTCTGTCATCAAGTTTTTACAGTTTTATTTCTTCTTCTAAACCGTTAAAGTTTGCAACATAGATTCTTGGGGTAGTCCTCTGTCAGATTTATTCATTTCGTGATATCTTCAATGAATATTTATGTCATTTATGGTAAAACATTACTGCTTTGATATATAGGTAATACAGGTAGACCTCTCTCAGATTTTTTTCATTTCATATTATCTCAGATTTTTCTAATTTTGATGAATATTTTTGGTAAAAAATGATATTTTCAACTTCTTGTTGAAAACCCGCAAGACTGATTGCTTTGATTGCATATAGGTACCTCAGATAGACCTTTCTCAGATTTGTTCATTTTCTAATATCTTTAGTTCTGAAATGTTAAGTGCACTGCTAACAGCAGAGCTATCTCAGCCGAGAGGCTGTTTTATCTATTGTGTCATAGTCGCCTTAGAATAAAAAGAAATACCCCCCCCCCCCTTCCAATGAAAAAATAAAATAATTGGAGCTTATACCTACCGGTATATCTGATTTTAATAAAATTGCAAATGACACCACCTGCTCAAATTAACACTATAAATCATGATACTGGTACATGTACTTTGATGGGCAAGTTACACCAAGTAAATGAAAAAATAACAAAGAGATAGGCTAAGCTCTAAACACCATTTTGAATCTAAAATTTGAGAATTGTAATTTCTTCACATTTGATTTTGTAATAGTCAGTGGGCAGAAAATCCTGTGTATTGATGCCCTTAGATGAGGAAAACCAATTACTGTGATTATGAATATTTGAAGTTTCAATACTGCATAGAAAATGATACAGGTTCAACCTAGAATAACACAAACTGTATATGCAACGTAGACTCTCCAGAAATCCAAATTCAAAAAATATTTCAAATAACACCAGTAAGATTACACGCATTAGCTTTATTTTGATAGAACCAAATTTAGCATTGAACTTGACAGCCGTCTATTGGCATGACACTTTTTTATTAATTTCCATGTGGCAACAATACTGTAAGGTTATTACGAGGATACCTCAAAGTATGCACAAAGACAGTACAGCGGCAGTATCAACCGACTCGCAGCGGAGGTCGATGCGACAGCGTACTGTCTGAGTGCATACTTTGAGGTATCCTTGTAATAACCTTATTATTATACATCTTTTCCTACCAAGGATACATCATGGGGAATGCCGAAATCTAAAAAATTTTGAACAGAATAGCGAACTTCTTTGTATGTAGTCCGGTCAAACCCTGGTGGCAGCTATGTTTGTTTTTATTATTAGAGGACGCTTACATGCGTAATCATTCCCTATTTGGAATTCGCATTTCCTAATATGGTTGGATGAAAATACCCCGTAAAATACCACAATATTACACCACACTGTAACTTATGGCGTTACGATGACAGATGTATAATATTAATTACTAAAGAAAAACATTTGATGAATGAAATTGATAAGCAACTGTTTTAATGCAATTGTGAATCAACATATTACCGTAGTTCTTGTGTGTTTTATGTCTTAAAACCAAATATGTATACCAGTAGTCACCCACCAAAGTCACAAACAAATGATCAGAAAATCTATCACAACAACAAACTTGGGTGATTTTTTATAACTTTATTAATTTAAAACCATGATTACACGAGTGTTCTAGTAATAACTTCACAATAAAATGACAACCTATACTATGACGATATTACAAAGTATGAATACGGGCAGTATGGTGATCGTATTAACCGACACTTAAAGTTGATGAGTTACCAAATGAAAACTTTGGGGTATTCTCGTAATTATTAAATTATACATAACTATTAATAATTTAATAATAGATAATGGCGAAAAACATTAACACTGTGCGAACTTTTGCATTCAGTGACATGATTATATTTCCATCATGCATTTCAAGTAAACAAGGGAAAGTGTTTAAATATGACGCACAATTTCCAAATAAAATTTGAAAATATCACTTTTCCTGTGTAAATAACACAATAAGAGTCATTACAGTTACCCTGTGTGTTTGTGCATGTCCCTTCCACACATCAACAACTACTCCACAGATTTAAATACAACTTGACACCTACAACTGCACATGCTCCAGGGTAAACCACGTATTTGATAAGTTTTATGTTGAAATTAAATTATCAAAACAGAAAAACATGAATGACACTATCCACATGAGAAAGCCTTTACCTGTCATTTTCCAAATATTTATTATTAAGCTGCATTGTGGGATATATTTTGTTTGTGTTTGATGTATGAAGTAGTATGTGCCGTATACAAATGCAGAAGTTGTCAAACAGTTGAAAAATGGGGGCAGTGTTAGATTTTTCAGCATTTTGGAAGTCACCAAGGTACAATACATTCCAAGTGTAACTTAACATTCAGCTGGCCTAGCTTGCTTTCAAAACTCCCACATATCTACATTGTGTAGAGTAATTTGCCTCAATACTGGACATATCTACATTGTGTAG